GATTCTCGCGTATGTGAATGGCGGAAGATTGGCATAATGATCTGAGAATTTGACGTCTATAAGGTCTTACATTCCTGGTTTCTATCTCCACTAAGCTTTAAATGAATATTTCCTGGAGGTTCTTCCAAGTGTCAATGACGACAAATCAACACATGAATCAAGTTTTGTGTTACTGCCTCCTAACTCCATCTTGCTCCTTATTTTTTGATAGTGAACGTTGACAAACAGAGGGATATTTGCACGGGCATTAGAAACGAAGTAAAGTCGTAGCTTTTGCGAAAATATACATAATTTCTGGCATCTGATATGTTTAGGATTACAGAGGTGAAGCTAAGCCCAGTACACCAACGTGAACTTAAAAACATCGATTTCGATGGATATAGTAAAAAGCCATGCCCACGCTTGTAGTCGCACAATTAACTCAAAATGTAGTATTTTTGCTCATAACTTATAAAGTGGAGCGAATAATTATCGAAAGATTCGAAACTAGCCCCAGTCGGTCTGCTCTGATTCCATTATTTAGGAGCAACAACAATTCGTGTCAGTGCAAAAGCAGTTTTCAGTTAAACGTTTGCAATCTTTTAAAACAAAGAATACACCTACGAAGTTTCAATTTATGTACCCATTGCCAAAAGCGCCTATAATCGTCGAAGTAGTTAAAGGTTATTGAAGATTCGGGTACTGAATATTTATATGACTGTGTTACAAGTATTAAAATCTATTCTGGTTATAAGTGAAAAAGTATCAAGGTTTATTTTCGTGCTTCGTTTTCGAGTTTTTTGAGCAATTTTTGAGCCATTGTGGGCAATTTACATACGGCAAAAACGGCTAATAGCTAGATAAACGAAAAAGCAGGGAGACGGACGTATGGGCGAGCGGTCAACAGAGCCGATTACTAGAGAAGCAGAGAAGTGACGGACGAAAAAGCGAACAAAATCAAGTAAATGGAAATACGGACCGACAACCAAATTGGCCGATAAATAGATAAGCAATTATATGAATAGGGAAGCGCAGCAAAACTTAAAAAAAAGTAATAAGAAACGTAGGGGCGGACGGCCGAAAGATCCGATAACTATAACTATAGTTAGAAAATTAAACAAATTTTTAAGTTCTAAATAGAAAAACAGGTAAACCGATAGACCGTCAAAAAAGTCAATTACTAGATAAGTAAAGAAAAACTTCAAGATCTCTTAAGTAATACGTAGAAAAATAGGGACATACGGACAAACAGTCCAAAGCGCTAACAGCTGAATAAGCAAAGTGATAGATTGGGAGACATAGGAAAACTTCTTTCTATTAAGAGAAGATATTTTCTATGGATTCTCAATTCAGGACCTATCACAGGCGACTCATCTCTCTCGGTGGTGGTTATTGAAACGCATCAAATGTAGATATCATTTAAATTATTATTAATTTTTTGTTTAGTTAATTTTTTTAATGCACTTCTTTAACCTAGCTTAATAACCATGCTAACCCATATAACATATATATATACATATGTATATATGTTGTATTAAATTTTGTACGTAAATGTTATTTTCACATTAAATTGCATGATATTGTTATTGATTTATTTATTTTTATTTTTTTTTTATTTTTTTTTTTGCATACCATAGCGGTGAAAAGTCAAACAACTTCAATACAACACTTATGCATAACACATATATATACACAATACTTGAATCATATTTTCCATAAATCACTTAAGTGTACTGTACGTAATATATGTATATATTTGCATACATATATATATATATATAGAAACACGATCACATGCACATTTATTTGTTCTGCTCTATAATATATAATGCTGTCAACAAAATAACCATTAATACTGTTGCAACACATAGTACAATATAATAACAAAATATTTCCATATTTACATATTTCACTTTTTTTTATGTACATTTTTAATAATAAAAAATTAAATGTTTTTTTTTTTCTCTTTTTATCTACAATTTTTTTTTTTTTTTTTTTTTTTTTTTTTTGCACAAAATATCTTCATCAATAAACGGCCAACTCAATAATAGGAGGAATGATGATGATGAAACCACTGTGTGACAGAATCAAAAACCACAATAATGGTAACAGAAATGCAACCAACAATGGCAAAACAAATAATAAGCGAGTGCACGTTGGCCGCACTTTTATAGAAAATTATTAAATTATATATATGAAATAATAATAATAATAATAACAATAATAATACAACAATAATATATACATATATATATATATATATAGAAATAATTGTGAACGAGAAAATGCAACAATCGCGTCAGCAATACTAACAACAAAATGACTACGATATGTCATACTATACGTATAATACATATATAGTTACGACTATAATATGCGTATATCGATAGCCGTTAAGAGAGAAAAAAGAAAACCATAAATGAAACATGAACAAAAAAAAAAGAAGTCAAAAGGTAAACAATAAATCGTATTTATTAAAAAATATTTATATTTAAATATATGTCGGAGGGAAAAATAATTTGCATTTAAATAAAGTAAAATGTTCAAATAAAAATAAATGAATATAAAAAAATATTAAAATAATATTACGAACATTGAGTAAACAAAGGAAGAAAAGAAAAAAGTATTATATTTTTATCGATGTATTTATATTACCATTAACAACAATAACAAAAACAACAACAATAAAGAGAACACGAACACAAAGAAAAGAAAAAAAAAGTTATTTACAAAATATTCGGAGAAAACAAAAAAAATGTATGTATGTATGTATGCGTATGTTTGTTACAAAATGCATATAAATATTGTTGATAACCATCCGAAAAGTAACGGAACTATGCATCTTCTATGCATTTTATGTGTAAAAAGCATTATATATAAGCATTATATATATATATATATATGTATATATGTGTATGTATGTATGTATGTATGTATATGTGGATTGTAATTAGAATATTTCAACGGTAAATAATTGAAAAGTTTTTATCAAACAGTTGTTGTCATTAATTCCAAAGCATTCCAGCACAAGAAATTATAACCGACGCAGCTACAAAAACTGAAACAAAATGGAAAAAAAAAAAAAAGAATAAAACAAAACATGATGGTTAGCCTTTGAACGTATCTTGCATACCCACCACTTCAAATCGCAAATAAACATTTGGTAGGGGTTTTCGTTAATTACGAGCATAAATTTTGTCTGGACCGAAACTATTTTTACTTTAAACATTTTTGAATACGAAATATGCAACAACTGATAAACTATGCCCAACAGTGTAAATGATGCTAAAATAGTTTTTGCCTGCAATGGATTTCTTAATTGAAAGGATACCATCATCAAGTTTACGCTTTCACTTCGCTGCGGATGCAAAAGCTGCAACAGCTTTTCAACAACAAATAATGACCTGAAAAACATACGCAATAACTTACCTAAAATTTTATGCTCACATACAGAACTGACACCTATACCGTATGTATCTCTGACTGGTATTTCTGATTTCTGCTTACAAATAATGAAATTAATATAAGTCTGTCCCTTTAGTGATAAGCATATGTAAAAATGAATTAATTAATGCAATGCTATGCGCACTGACATAGTGGAAGTCTGACCTAAAATGTCATTTGCAAATGTGTTTGAAAATGACATCTCAAAGGTGAAAGCCTTATGCATATACCAATAAAAGAGATTCGCAGATTGTTTTTCTCATTTAAGTCAAACACTCTGTAAAGAAAATGTATACTCCAAAGGCGTGCATTAGTGCCTCGGCGAATTCGTTTAGGATTCTTTTGAAGAAAATTTATAATTTTCTAATAATTGATCGGTACTCGATCATTAAATATGTAACACTCACCCATCAGGCAGATTGCATCTTTACAGCTTATCCTATTTTCATTGCTTCTTTCCCTCTAACCTTTTGACCGGGTGGTGAGCGACTTGCCTTTAAAAAAAGAAGAAAGCAATACCAGACAGACAGTTGAGTTGGGCGTGTCCTGACTAAATCGACTAGAAATTTCCTATCCTAAATTTTTTTGCTTTTTTGCCTATGACCTACGCCACGCGGTGAGCGATTCGTCTTTAAAAAAACCTGCTTTTAAGAGCAACACCAGACAAACAATTGGACAAGCAAGGCGTGGCTAAATCGACTAGAAATTTCCTATCCTAAATTTCTTTGCTTCTTTGCCTACGACCTACGCCACGTACCTGGAACCTGCTTTTAAAAGCAACACCAGACAGACAATTGGATAGACGTGGCGTGACCAAATAGACTCGAAATTTTAAACATATTACAGGATATCATCAATGGCAGAGCAAGTCTGATACATCTACGTTTGTTGGCGAACACATAAGTACAGAAGAAAAAAATTATTCTCAATCCTGTTGGTTTCAATCCATCTATTAGACGGTACTGCTCTTACAATGTAAATCGATTGCTTTAGTTATAAAGCAGAGGTGCAGCACATAGTATAAAGATATGAAGACAGTAACAAGAATGCGAAATACAGCGCAGAACAACTGCAATAGATTATATAAAATTTCCTTCAACTTTTTCCACTTTCTTCATACACATGTAACTATAGCGAGACTGAAGAAATTATGTTTCGTTATACGTATGCGATAGTATTGTGAACGTAACATGCCATATAAACCTAAGATAATACTGCATAACAATGACATGCCATAGAGATAATAGTAAGTCATCTTGGAAAGTAGTCAAACATAACGAGTAAATTACTATTGTAACATAACATACTAAAGCATATTTCATAAATATCACAGTTAACATATCTAGCATAAACCCGCTAAGTGGTCTATGACTTGGAAAGGGTACACTAAGTGCAAGTAATTGCATGGACCATCCGCTTAATTTTATCGATATAATCATGGTTAGTGTAGGCAGACAAAAAAGGGGCGGGACGAAGCTAAGTACATATCGTTATTCAAAATTGTGAAAAAGTGCGAATAGTTTATATTATTGATCTCCTCGGTTTGTTACATATGACAAAATATATTTCTCCCTCTGGTGGGTATAAAAAAGGTAAATAGTTATATAAATATTTGTATATATATAACGGATGTGCAAAACTATGATGATTTTTCATAGCTTAGTAAAATGAATAAAAAAAAAGGAAAAATTAAAAAAAAAAATTTAATTTTTATCTGTATTTACTCTAAGTTAAGAACATTATCTCATACAAACATATGCATATAAAAATTTAAATTAATAATTAATCATTTTAGTATTTTCAAACCATTTAGACTGACGCGCTTATCTTAGAAAGAAAATTTCGAATAAAAATAAAAACCAAAAAGAAAAAAGGAAAACTTTCTGATAACTGACAACTTAATGCATTTAAAATTTATGGCATTTAATTTAACAAAAAAAAAAAAAAAATAGGAAGAAGATATTTATAGAGCCGATATTATGAAGAAATATCGCAAAAAATGTTTATTATCAAATTAAATGAAAAATTATATATATATACAAAAAAAGAAGAAAAATTTGTGCCTATCGAACGACTTGAATATATTTTGCAAAGCTTAGTTCAAATTATTATTAATTTTCAACGAAAATTGTGCAAGGTTTTTTGTTAAAAGGCTAACAACAACAACAACAACAACATAAATAATATACGAGATTTAACTCTTTCTGAATTGCTTACAGCAAAAGCTTTTAGAGAGTTCTTTAGTACAATTTATTGTAATATTAATTAATTAAAAATTAATTTCCTAAGTACTCTTTGGATCACTTATTGATGAGAGAACAAATTCAAAAATACATTTGAATATCATTTTGTATATAAGCATATGCGAGACGATTGGTTCGAAATCGGGAAAAGTATTTACATTCATTTTATATTTAAGTTTTTAACGAAATACTCAATGCCAGTGATATTTTTATTAATTAAAAATACTTCAAAAAAAAAAAAACGGACACCGAAATAAGAAAATAAATGTGAAAGAAAATCTCGAATTTACTCTAAATCTTTCATAATTTTGATTCCTTAAGGCAGACATCAGAGCGATTAGGAGTCTTTGACTTGTGCGATGAATGACATAATGTGATGAAACATTTCGTTCATTCGGTCTTCTATGTATTTTAAATATATTTTATAAGACGATTGCCTTTTAGACTTTCTTTAGGATCTATTAAGTAATTTATTTGATCTTTTAGTACCCTAGGCTGCATAGAATGCTGGAAGACCTTGGTATGTAGGGAGACCATAGACAAAAGATTGATCTTCAATACTGACAGAAGTCAGAAGTTATCCTGCTTACACTTTTCATTTGATTGATTTGATTTATTGCCATCTATTCACTCAACAGCATATCAGCTTAGATTTATATAGTAGACCTAACTGTGTAGGGCCACAACATGAAAGATTGATGCCAAAGTCAGGAGTAATCCTGCTTACACTTTTTATCTAAGTTATCAGTTTATTGCCATCTGTTCACTCAACAGCATATCAGCTTACATTTTTGTAGTAGACGTAGCTGTGTAAGACAACTATACAAAAGATTGATCAACAATGTAATACCAACGATATTGAAACCAGGAGTAATTCTCTTTACACTTTTTATCTAAGCTAAAGAATTATTGCCATTTGCTAACTCAACAGTATTTTAGCTTACACTTATATAGAAGGCTTCAATCCTTGTCATTTCGAGGATAGTTGCGGATTTACTCAGTTACCTGTACAGCTTGTTAACAACTATTGGAGAGTTATATAAATTATATTAGCCATCTACGCTTTATGTCCCAACTCTAATTTTCTTCAACGATATTCGTGCTTACACCTGATTTTCCAGCAATGCAGGCTTTATAGAAAATTGTAGGTTACCCACTCAGGTCTGCTCTTTTAACTAACACTTATTTACTTATCTGACTCCGCGATTATTCCGGTAGTTGAGTTAAAAGATTTCCCTTGAAAGTACAGATGTTTACGCAACCCACAATTTTGACAGCTCTTTGTCTTATATTTTGTTTAGACAAAAGTGACGCCTTTTCTATGGAAGGCCAACATAACCTACCTTGCCTATCTAACTTACAACCAACTTATACCTAGTTCTACGGCAACATATTCGATTCGATCAGTACCCCGAAGTAAAGTCATCAGCACCATGTATTCTAACTGATTACAACACAAACAAACACCCTCAGCCAAAGCAAAGATGGCAAAGCCTAAGGAAGGCCAGCAGAATCTTGCGTCCCTGTTTTCGCATTACCAACTCGTATTTTATTTTCCAGCAATGCCAGCAATGCCTAAAGCATTACTTGTGAGTAAAATTATTGGCACCATATAATATATTCAATCGCTACTACTTGGTCACGGCTAGCCGTACAAGTAAACCATTCTTCAAAAATTGTTTTTCTTTCATTTTTTCTTCTTTCAATTTTCGTTTATCTTAACGAAATGGTTTTAACCGAAAATCTTTTCCCGGTTAAAGTCTTGAG